TCTCTCTCTCTCTCTCTCTCTCTCTCTCTCTCTCTCTCTCTCTCTCTCACTCACTCACTCACTGCGTAATCGTGAGGGGAGCGGAGGGGGAGACGTGGCTCTTTTTTCCTTCTTTGGTTTGAGGTCTTTTTTTTTAAAATTTTATTATTATTATTATTATTTTTTTCCGTTTTTGGTTCGCCTGCAGGTAACTCGTGTTTAGGTTTACCCTCGCATTTTAAATGGTGCGTTTTCTTTCCGCCTTTGCTCCCGGTCTTTTTACTGGTGGCCTTGTAAGCGCTGCGTCAAGCGCAGTCGCGTGGGCAAGGCGATCGTCCGCTTCGGATGCAGCGGAGTGCGCTTCCCCCAAGTCAACGTTTACACCAGACGAGTTTCACCCATTCAAACTGCTTTCATCGCGGTACGAGTCACATGACACTCGGCGGCTTTACTTTGCTCTTGAGAGCATCGAGTCGACATTCTCTGTGCCTGTCGCGTCGTGTATCGTCGTCAAGCTTACGGACACAAATGGGAAAGACGTACTGTATCCCTTCACCCCCATCACTGCGAACAACACCAAGGGGCACTTTGAGATTATCGTCAAGAAGCAACCAAAAGATAAGATGAGCGCACTTCTCTTTCAGTTGCAGCCAGGGGAGGAGCTGCTCGTCAAGGGTCCCTTTGAGAAGTTTACCTACAAACCAAACATGTGGAAGAGTGTAGGCATGCTAGCTAGCGGAACAGGGATAGCTCCCATGTATCAACTGTTGCAGGCGATTTTGATGAACCCAAAGGATCGGACACATGTGTCGTTGGTGTACGCAAACGAGCAACGACGTGATATTCTGCTGGCGAACGAACTCTCTACTTTGCAGAAGACCTACAATAATTTTAATCTCTACCTCACACTTATGCAGGTACCACATCGTTGGTTAGGTGGTATTGGAGGCATCAATGATGCCATGATTCATACTTTTATGCCGAAGCCTGACGAAAAGCACACAAAAATCCTTGTGGCGGGACCACCGTCTATGCTAGCGGAGCTAGCAGGAGACAAGGTGTTTGCTGATGGCAAAGCCCCAGAGCAAGGACCACTGCTGGGGCTTCTTAAAAGTTTGGGATATACGGAAGAACAAGTGTTCAAGTATTGATACCTAATATAACGGCACATTGGGGAAAACAACTGCAGCAGCGAAATTTATGGACCTACACGCATGGCACGTTAAGTATAGTCGTAGCAGTAGCAACATAAGTGGCAGTAGACACTCGGTGTTAGTGATGATAAACTTAACAACTGCAATCAAAAAAAAAATAAGGAAAACGGTGGTGCCAACAAGTAACTTCCGTTTTGTTGAGCGGAGTTCATGTGCGCCTATTTGTGACCTGGGTTATAGAGGGCGGGAGAAACGCAGCTTAGCTGGAGAGGCACATAAACGACACACCCACGCACACAAGAACGGCAGTAGGGTGCTGCTGGAGTCGTGGTGGTGGGAGGGGGGAGGAGGAATAGAAAAAAAAAAAAACCATTACCGAGTGCAGGAGGAGTAGGCGAGGACTGCCAGGGTTAGTGGGCTCGTCGTATAGATGGGGGAGGGCGTTTGCTGTGTAATTGTTTGCTTTTCTTTCTCGCTCTATTGTTGGTGCCCTTCGTCCCTTATAGATGTATTGTTGCTGTGTTTGCTTTTCTATTGTTGTTTCCTCCTGCATCGCCGTGGCTGTCGCTGCAAAGAGTATGGTGAAGAGCGAGGCCGGGCACGGTGGGAATGGGTGCGTGCGCCAGCAGGAGAGGCGGCAGTGTGCAAGGACCGTGCGAGGCGACGTTTGCGCACGCCTGTTGAGCATGCGCCTCTTGGCTTGGGCTATGCGGGTCACTCTTTGCGTTGTTTCGCCCGCCCTTAACCAAGTTGGTTTTACTGCGTCTCCGCTCTTTTCCGGAGTTTCAGACATCTTTTTTTTTTTGTTGCGTGTTGTCTTCTTCGTCGCATTGTTTTTCCCCCTTTTTGCAAGTTTCACGCGACGACGCTTTAAGGCTCAAAGTTGAAGCGTCAGTGGCACGAATGAAATGCAAAGTTGCGGCCACGAAGAGATTGAGAAACAAACAAAAAAAACACAGTCTTCTCGTTTCTGCATTTGTTTCCTCCTCGCTCTCTCTCTTCTCGCTTTTTCTATACATTGATCATATATGCGTCTCTGCCTCTGCTTCTTTACATGTTGTTCTATGACTCCTCACTTTTTTATTTCTCATAATTTATTCATCACTTAAGGGGTTTGGGCTGTTGCTTTTTTTTTTTGTTCTTAAAGCCCACAGTTTCCTTTTCCTCCCTCGCTGTTTGTGCGTGCCAGGTCGGAGAAGGTGACGGTGATACGTAACAATAACTTCCGTACATCTTTGCATTTAACTAACCCCGATCATGGAAAAGGGAAGAAGTGGAGTGACGGCGCCACCTTACACACAAAAGTTGCAGGACGTCGATGGGGGGGAGTTTGTTCCGACGATAAAGTCCTACAATAACGAGCATTTTTTGCTGAGCCCGCAGGGGCGGCTTATTCGCATTCTGTGCGAGTTTGAAGAGCCTGCGGGCCGGCTGCGGAGGCACAAGGTGCGGTCTACTGTGCTATTCTTCGGGAGTGCGCGTGCGATGAGTGCGGAGGAGCACAGACTTACAGTGCAGAAGTACGAGGCATCCCTTGCTGTGGCCGAAAACGACGAGGCAAGGGTAAAAGTTAGACATGAGCTGCACCAACTACAGAGAACGCAGTGGATGTGTGAATGGGTGAACAAGGTGCGGGACATGTCGCGTATGATTGCTGAATTTGCCATCGGTCACAGGGACCTTATCAATGCCTCGTTTACACACATGCCGGACTACTTCCGCCCGACACTCAGTGATGTTAACAAAGACTCCTCCATGTCGCTTTTGGAGGATGACTTCCTTGACCTTGTCGTCACAACTGGCGGTGGCCCTGGTTTTATGGAAGCCGCTAATGAAGGAGCAGCGTCTGTCGAAAGTTCTGCAACGATGGGAATGGGCATTTCGCTCCCCTTTGAGAAGGGTCTCAACCGCCACATCACCCCTGACCTCGCATTTGAGTTTCACTACTTCTTTACACGCAAGTTTTGGATGATGTACTCTTGTCGTGCCATCGTCATTGCACCAGGTGGGTTTGGAACGCTGGATGAACTTTTTGAGCTGCTTACCCTGCGTCAAACAGGGAAAATTCCGGATCTTCCCATCGTTTTATTTTGCAGCCAGTTCTGGAAGACGGTAGTCAACTGGGATGCACTAGTGGAGTTCGGAACAGTATCAAAGGGAGAGGTTGATGCGCTTTGCTTTGCCGACACAGCTGAGGAGGCGGCAGAATTCATTAAGAGCTTTTTTTTGGCCCAAGCGTAAATTAGCGTGGATGCTTGTCGTCTTTTAAAAGAGAAGGTGAGGAGGGAGGGGGGGAGGGGAGGGACACAATGATGCGTAAAGCTCTTCTTTGCTACCTGCACAAAAAAAAAAAAAAACAAACGGCAACAACGCAAACGAAAATAAAAAAAAAA